GTCGCTCCCCCGGTCAGGGATGGTACCTTTTACTTTCTGTATATTTTATACTCTAAATGTCCTGTTTGAAACCATATGTTTTTGTATTAGGATGTGGTTTCTTCTTTCTTTTTAAATAGGAAATATTTTTAGGCTTGTTTTCTATCTAAGAAAAGTAAGAAATGTTAAATTGCTATGTATTGTATCCAAAATTCTTAGTTGGTGTTACTCAGTAGGTGTGAAGAGACTAGAAATAAATTGTTATTCCCTTTCTACATTTTATTATTTATCACTAAAGTGCAGTCGTGTACATCTGTACTACGTCCGCTGGTTCACATCCACATGACGTGAAGATTTAAACTTAAAGCTCCCTAATCCCAGTGCGCGGCATCCCTAGAGGATGCTTCACTCGCCGCCGGATGGTCCCGGCTGTTTACGCCCCGAGCGTCCTACGTCCTACCCCCAACCCCGCTATGCTCCCCTGGTAGTTTTTATGTTCTTTTATTACGTCACGTTCTCGTTTGCTCCCGCTTACCAGTTTTCTCGTCTTTGTTAATTGTGGCTGTCTTCGTCTTTAGTGTTTTTCCTCCTTAGATAGGGTTCTCTTTTATTTTCGGGAAATTGTAATACAGACTTTTTTGTTACTTAATGTTCCTTGTCCGGGTTTGAATTTAATAAAGGAATTATTAAAATATCCGTGGTCGGCTTAAATTTCTTCGTGTTCAGTTCAGAAATACCTGATTACTGCAACCTACCCAAAAATTATAGATAAATAAGATGGATCAAAATTTTAAGTCGATATTTATGTATAATTAAAATTATGAATGAAATGCCTTTCACTAGCTTACAAAATGACAACAAATAGTTTTAAGAAAACTTTTATTTTGAAAAGTGCACACAAAGGGAAAGTATAGAGTCAAAAACCCTTTGAAAATATTGTTCGGAAAAATATTCTGATTTTGCTAAATTCCCATAAAAATACAAAGCACGAAAGAGAAAGACCGGGGCACCATAAACGTAACCGCAATATATCCCACAGCCCACAATACGTCGGCGGTTATATTTTTACGGCTGCGAACTTGCCTCGGGCATGCGGTCGGTATGATGCGGGAGCTGGGCGTGTATCCTGTAAAAGTATAGGCAAACGCCTGCCTTTGTATGAAAGCCTGGTACCCATGCGTGTTATTATTAGGGGAGAGGTAGGGAATTTATAAAAATAGTTCACGTGTGTGATTTTGCTGTGTGACTTGTGTGAGCCTGGTATTCAGTGGCTAACAATATCTACAGAGATGGTAATTGTGGCCAAACACAATACTTTTTTAGTCTAGAAATTTGAATTTAATTCTCTATGAATAAGCACGGTGCACTTATCCTCATAGCTTGCTTCTATCACAAAATATTTTTTTTGCAAAATAAGACTAAACTTTTAGTGCTACTGACACGGATACTTACTAACTTTTATTACGGTTTGGTTATCTGCCATTTTAAATACCTTTTTTTACTAAAGTATCTAGATTCTAGATACTTGTATATTGCCTACATCTATCTATCTCGATGGAAGCCCAGAAAGATTTATAATTTAACCGTATCTAGGCATCAAGTTCTCAAGCCGGGTCGCACTCATTCAACCCTCCACCGCTAATCCGGGTCACAGTGACACTTGACAGGTAAAAATCGTCTCAACAATGGAAGGGACCCGATACTTTATGAGGGTTACTTATGAGTACTTTCGTCCGGGTTTCGGTGCACCCCGACATTCTGAATGTCACTTCGATATGACTTTTTCCTTTTCATATTTTTGGCAACAGTTTTCGCTCTTCAACGTTTTATGAAGCTCTGGTAGATTTATTATCTTGCCAAAAATTGATAAATAAATGATTTTTGCATTTGCCAAACAAATTACATCTACATAGTGAACGAATACATATATAAAACACATTCATGACAATCGCCTGTTTCCCATACGTTGTTCTTTTAATATTAACTACCCCAATCCTGTATTGCACAATCTTCATTCCACATAAACTTCACAACATATATCAAGATATTTCCTCACGTTTATCTTAACTCCCAAAACTTGCGCGAACATTTTGACAAAAGCGGGTAAGTTTTAATATTTCAGATCGGACATACGGTTCGGAGCCGAGAAGCTCCGGGCTGTCGGGAACAAGCGTCGGACGTGTTGGGAACAAACGGGAGAGGTGTGGTCCCGGTTCCGGATAACGGATACAGCCACCCCATTACTTATCTAGGGGGTCGTAAAATACGGCGGCGGTTCGCAGAGCGGCGGACCGATAATTGGGATTTGTAGTAACGTTTATCCCTCATCGGGTCGAGGGGTGTTGCAAATATTAAAGTTCAGGGATCGGGGCCTAGCTGGCTAATTACCCCGCTAACTTATAATCTAAATAGATATCGAGTGCGTGGGCTTTTGAACATTATTTTCCAAAGTTATTTTTGCTTTTAGTAGCGTTAAAAGTATTTATTGGGAACATTTCTTCAGGTTTCTTCTTGCTACAGCTAAAGTTTTATAAATCGCGATGTTTAACATAGCATATATTTTAATGTACATCTTCGTACACCCACCCTAAACACCCTTAACTCATTCGCAATGCACGTCACACATCAAGAACATCAGCCACTTACTTCGTCTAGCTGTTACACTTAATTACAGCTAATCTAACAAAGCGTACTTATGTCAATACGTTGCTCGTACGTTTCTCGTCCGTCGGTCGTACGATCGTCCGCCTATGTGCAGTCCAGTCGGCGGGCGAGGGTTGACCACAAATAGTGGTGTCGTGATTTTAATGGACCGTTAGTGATGTAACTATTTTGAGCGTACCGATCCTAGGGTGTAATGTTAACGAGTGGGAATTTGGGATTTTTTACGGGTTCCGTGATTTTAATGCTTGCGTGATTATCGATTTGGTGTCGCTCTATTAACTCCAATGCTAGCTTGAATGAATTACGCAGTCGGTTTTATAGAAAGTGCATTCGAATTTAAGCTTAGTTTGGTGATAATATTGTAAAAATCCGACAGTATTTAATAGGTCGAAAGTATTGAAAAAAGCAATAATTATTTTAAATATTGTTTTATCATTTTATCAACTAATGCGTGATACTTTCCGTTTAGAATCCAATGCAGGGCTGCATTGAAGTTCTTTTCATTAGAGCGTGAAATTGCAATTAAAACGCTCTTTTCTACTGCTTTTTAGTCGGTATACTTTAATCATTATCTCATCATAAGCATGGCAACTTCTTATTTTATGCTAAATTCTCTTCATTGTCTCATCCTGATAGTTTAGCATAAGTCCAAGCTGGTATTATCATTCACATGACATGCCTTCCGAATATCGGGAAGAGTAAGTTCTTCTGAAAATTCAAACGTTTAGTATAATCTACTATAGCTTCTGTTCTGGAATATGTCTAACCTAGAAACGTGTTCATAGTAGGTATTACCTATAATATACTTCGAGGCAAACTAATCGTGGAATACCAGATACCCAGTCGAATGGCACTGCGTCGTCACAAAGTCATTTGAGAGGCAAAACATTTCGTACTAGCACGACGACCAAAAAGCAAGGCAATTGATCATGGACGGCTTGTGTTAGGGCGACCAGAGTTTGGGAATAACTCACGACTAGAAAAACTAACTTTAACTGCGGCTGTGTTGGTAAAATAGCGTGTATTTTTAATATACTGGGTAATTTGGTAGAAAAAACTGAAATAGATGATATTTCTCTTTGGCCTTAAGCTGCGGTACAAAAAGGAATATACAATCTCTGTAGGATTTGATAGATCTAATCATCATCATATGATAGATGCTTGATAAAAAACATTAACTTTCATGTAATTTGTAATTTTTCAGCTTTGTGCAGCAGCAAATGACGTTAAAGAAATGCTAAATAGTAATTCTAGACTCAATCTTTATTATTTTACCAAGAGCTTCGATAAACAGCACATTTGTAATGGAATTATAATTATGCAAAGAATTTAGCCGAAATAAATAACAATCCGACATTACATAATGAGGTTGGTCTCCCGATTGTGTCTGCAAACTAAATGAAAGTGTCCCAGGACAAACAAACGAAGGCCGGCTGGCGACAATCGGGAGCTGCGGGCCGTTCGCTAACAGTTAAGAGGTCTTTTAGACCCCACTTCGACAGGGTAGGGTTGTGTAAGTATGGTGTATTATTATAGGCCATCTGCTTATAATTTCGGCGTAAGTCATATCAAACCCGGTTTGATATTAGGCTTTAAGATTGCAATGACATAAAAGAAGGTTGTAGAAAAAGGTTTCAAGCCACTTTTCTAAGTGGCGAACTTTGAAAAATATTCTGTCGACGAAAAAATTAGTTATTTGTCTGATTCTTATTTCAATTTTGTATTCTTATGCTCTCTTTCCTCCACATGGTAATATTTTCCATTCATAGGACGATCAAGAAAGTTCTTAAAATCTTTAACAAAGACTTTGAGCAGTTTCTTCAATAAAACATTGCGATTATGTCCTATATCCGAACATTTACTACTTAATCAATAAATCTTCTTTTTTAAGACCATGTCACATGGCAGTGTAATGGGGCACTAACATATTTCGGTGACATAAACTCAAGGGAGCCCCAAATTAAATAAAACTCCCGCCGATCACCGACCACTCGATCATTCGAGACTTTTGGTGTCACAGAGGGTACAAAAACTGTAGTTTTCGTTTTCCCCTCTTTTGAGGCAAAATGTCAATATACCTATGTGCTTATGGTTTTCTTTCTTTATGGCTTTTCAACTGGCTTAGGGTTCGAAATTCTAATATTTATGTGCATTTCTGACTGAATTCGTTGCATACAACTCTTATCTGTTATTTTGATCGTCTATAGCCGACCGTGGTTAATGACGATGACACAAGAGTTTGGTGTCAAGTATTTGCTACCAATAAAATGGTTTCAGTAGAATGATGTACAAACCGCTAAGTTAACAATTTCTTTACCTGTGTCAATAACACAATTTTAACGGACTTCTGTGTTAAAATGTTCGATACAGTCCACGAAACGCTGAATCACGACGTTACCCACATCGGAGGACACGTCACGCCCAATGGCCCGGCTTTACGCCGACATAGCCCGAGCTTTATGCCAGTACGGCCCGGTTCCGTAATTACTATTCGTTTGCCGGCAGGCTATTTACCGAAGGCGCTCGTTCGCCGCCCCTCGGCGCGGTTGCAGCCGGGATTGTCGATCACTCTATACTTATGTGAGCCTGGTATAGTGTTTTGGCGTCGTCGGTAGCGCGAGGGAACGTGGATCAAGTGTCGGTGGGAATCTTAGGTAGCGGGATCGGTAGGGCTGGCAAAGATTGTTGAATAAATATTTATTTCACTTCTGTTGAACAACTTTCTCGTTTGACCATTGTTAAGGACGAATTCATAAAGCCCTAGCATCAGGAATGAAGTGGCACCGTAAGAAGAAGAGAAAATTAACTACACTATTGCTGTTGTAAACAGTTGGTTAATATGTTAATTCATGGTACTTCAATCTTATCTTTGTCTGCCTAGTTTAGATATGCTTTAAACTGTCAAACACCAAGCGGTCACCGGTGACCGCAACCTATTGTTCTTTAATTGTGTCTATAAATACGGTACTCGACGAGTTAAGAACCAGCCAAACATCGAGTTTCAAATTCAAAGTATGCTTATCATACTTACTTAAATAATAGTTATTGTACTGACACGATACACTTCAAATAAATATTGAATATATATTTAATGCTATACTTGGCGAGTGTCAACCCTGCCCCTTATATCTGGAATCTAGCGGGTCGCAGAGACCGGCGCGGCGTGGCGACGGTCGCTACTAACGATCGTAGATCAATCGCCGCGCACATCTGATGCGGTGCGACATCCCCGCCAAATGTCACCGCTTCTCTTAATCACCACTCTCGCCAGTCTGTAATTCTTAGCAATTCGTGAGGAACTGAGAAATAGGTGATAGTGGTATTTTAGTTGCTTGATATTCTATATTGAAAAAGTGTTATTGACTCCTTACTTGGATTTCATAACTTGCGAAAAGTGCGTGTTCCATTTAATGTTCTATGCAGTGTACACAGTCTGTATGCAGTCTACACCATCGGGGATGTTAAGACGCGATGCTCTGTTGAAAGTGACCAACTTCTCTGATTCGATTGTCATTTTTGTATAAAAATCCATTTTGCATTTGAATTGGTTAAAACGTGTTCAACATTAGCCTATACAGACTTACACGCACGGATATGCGATCTATGGTTACTGATTTCCTAGATTTAATAGTAATTATGACGTTGACTTACTGTTGCCCTTGTACTCCTGACTAACCACCCCACATTGGTCATTGGAGTATACCTTCCACCCTTCCATGAGCTAGTATGCATCGTTGCGTGTAAGCCTCAAGCCAAAGTCCAGTATATCTCCATAGGGGTTATAGTAGCCTGGTACAGGTTTAAATACTTTCAAATGGAATTGAAGTGGTGAAACACCCCTTAAAATCGAAACGAATATTATGTAAGTACAAGCAACATCAAATAAATCGCCGAAATGTATTTTTTTATTTTTGAAAGAGTAGATACACCAATTCGTAATAATTGGAAAATAACTTTGGTGGTCTTCGTTATCATTAGGGCTAAGTTTTCATAAAAAGAAAGTCCAAAGGAGGAACGGGTCGCTAGTTGAAATTCTCTTTATTCCTCTTCTCTTCTAAAGTGTATGTATCAATTTGTACACGGTTAAGAGAGATCCGGAGAAGTTGAGTCTCCCACCCTTTTCTATTCAAAGAAAAAATATACGACAAAATATACACAAACAAAGAATACAACTTTAAATTCAACTTAGCCAATCCTTTTAATGTCAGCCGTATTCTGTTACCGGTTACCGGGTGGACGGGACAGGCCCGGATGTTCCCCACTGCCTGGTTCACTCCATCCGGCCGTGGAGTACCAGGAGATCATAGAGGAAGCGAAGGGATGTTATTATATTTTTGTGACAGGATAAATTCGCTATAGATCAGATTAATCTACGTTTTTTCAAATTAGAATTTTATCTACTCCAAATTCAAATACATTTTTAAATGTCGAATCAAATGTTGTGTTCAGTTAATTCATGTTCTCAATTCAATTCACAATGTGCCACAATAATGTTCGTGTATTTTTTTAAAGTCTGCACAAGTTTGAAGTAACGTTTCAGAGTCATTTACGAAAGGATGTACTTATGTAGGCTAAATGCAGAATTCCCAATCCGTAGCACAAATAAAAAACGTTAAAGTTAACTGTACAGTTTGGTGAAATGAAAGTAGCATTTGATATTTAATTGTTATATAGCATTAATCATTATCATTTTTATTTTAATAATGCTAAATATTTGCAGAAGGCGCTTAGCTTTTGGCCAGAGAGTATCATTAAAACCACTCCTGTGATCATTATTTATTCCTGATGTTTGGGACTTTAGGTTTGCAATTACTAGTTCAACTGTAGTTCAAAAGTGTCTGTTGTTCATTATTTGTCACTATTAAATTTTTATCCAAGCTTTGCGTAATTTTTCCAAGGAACCCTATTTAATAACAGGGGAAGTCATACATAAGGCACCCAGCACATTATGTTACTAAAGGCATCCCGATGGCCATCATCAGCATCTATGTATTAAGACCCATGGGGCATTCGGTCATACAAATAGACCAACATATTTTTTTTTCTAAAAAACAGTCTTACTGGGTTTTCTGCACTTTTATTTGCACAAACAAACTTGATCGGTCTCGGAGTGGTATCGAACGCGCAGGTGTAGTCGCAATACTCGCAATGAGGCATTGCTCACCACCACCTGTTGCTGCCCTCCTAGTACCCGTACTGCACGGAATTTATTTCTTGTATTTGAGAGGATTCTTTGAAGGGGTTCGTTTCAATTTACTTAGTTTATTTATTTTAAGTTAGTTAAGGTCGCTCTTTTTGTTTAGTTTTGAAGTTTAATGGTAGAGAGATAAACTTATAAGTTCTACAATGATCACAATAAGAATGAGCACTTATTTTAATGAGTGAAGAGTTTAGTGCACTCAATTGTGACTACTTGTGACGGCAGAGTGAAAAAATACTAACATTTTGTGAACTCCTCTAATATCATTATTTTTTTTTATTTAGCCGGTTAGGTAATGGACTACGCAAGTACGTACACAACCGAGCACCAGCGCTCTGTGATAAAGTTGAACCTTAAACTTCGGGGCTGACATGTTCTGAACGAAAAGTCCCTTAAACCATAGATAATAATAACAAAAAAAAACCTTTAAACTTTCATATGAGGAGATTATTGGTAAATCTCTTTTATGTAGAGGCCCAATAATTACCAGAGGACTGCCACGAGCTGTAGAAGAATAATAGGCTACGGTGCCCTGTGTCCTTACTTTCCAAATGAACTATATTGATAAAACTATGATAATTATATCCCAACTAGAATAATGCTTAGATCAAACGTTTTTATCAAGTTCGTAGTTACAATTTGAAGCCAAATTCACAGTTCGGCATTGTATAAAGTCGCCGGGTGGGCGACTGGGCGACAGTCGGCGCGCGTTCACCAATATTTCGTACGGAGCGTACAATTTATTTTTATTTGGCGGGAGATTGTCTCGGCGCGTCGCGAATGGCGCGGGCGGGCGCGCTGCTAATTGGCCCGCTTGATAATAGTGATGTGACCTCTCTGTAACTTAGGTACTATGTTTTATTTTTGGGGAATTTATAATCCCTTAGAGGTGTTTATAAGCTTGTCCGGATTAGGTATGTCTCTCTATAGCATTGTGGTTTTTACGAAATGCTAGACTAATTAAGTAATCCAAACCCTTTACTTACAAATCGCAGAATAGATAAATGTAATGACATTTTTACTTGTGTGTGTACAAATGTCTGCAGGTCTGAGGGGCGTCTGCAGATGAAAGCCTGTAGTCACTCCAAACGTCATTTGGCCTTCAACTAATTTGTTCACAGTCTAGCGACTGATTGTAAATTAAAAAATTAAAAAAAATACTAGTACATACTTACATAATTGTTATATTTATATACCTCACGATAGCGATGAGGAAATTTTTTTTTGATGCCATATGATAGCATTTTTTTTAAGGTGCAAATATTTTAGTTCATAGTTATTTATATTTTAAGTTGTATATATTTTCATTTAGTAATAGTTAATATTAATTTTATTTATGTCCTACATGTACTATTGTTGTATCTAATTGTAATTAGGTAACTACATACATGTGTACTTAGTTAGGATAGCAAGGCTTTCCATTTCTGCATAACCTACCTAACGAATCGATTTCCAAGTTCCCGGGAAGATTGGCGGTGTCCCGGGAAGAGGAAATCGCACTTATCCGAGAATATCCGGGATTGCAAGACCTTCGATTTCTCTCAAGTTTTCATGTCAAAGAGAATGTTCTTGAGGTTTTAAATTGAAAGATATAAAATACATAATTATTATCTTATGATAGGTGCTGTGAATAATAGAACTTATTGAACTGTTAATACAAATTAACTAGGGCTTTACTTTTCTGTTGTAGCTTTTTAGTTCTACTACCATGTTAAGTTTTATTTATTTATTAAAATATTTAACGAAACTTTAGCTGCATACTAAAACTTTATACTTGACTAGCAGACCCGACAGACGTTGTCCTGCATATCCACTTGAAGTTATCAACAAAAATCCATTCAAATCAGTTCAGCCGTTTAGGATAAATAACCTAGACTTCGACTGCAGCGCCATCTGCCGGGCTGATTAGTGAATCTAAACCATTCCCAGATCTCCTTGAACACACACAAAAAATTTCATCAAAATCGGTCCAGTCGTTTGAGAGAAGTTCAGTGACATACACACTCACAGAAGAATTTTATATATAATGACCTATGTGCTTAATTTATTAAATTGGTCTTAAAAATAAGGCACCTATCTACAATATCTTTTAGGCTTAAACTGTCACATTTGGTTCAGTATCACTTACATTAAGTTACACAGCCCAGCCTGAAACTATACCTACAATTTCTACAAAATATAAAAAGCTGCAATATCCTCTCGATTATAACAACACAGATTGTCCCCGCACTAGGTGTGGCGTGGCGTGTAATTACCGTGGCCATTAGTCCTGCTGGGGCCACTTCCAGACCGCCGGGATAAGCATCTCTGATGATACCACAGTTTCGACGCCTGCCCCACCTCAAACGCACGTTATGTTTGTTATAAATGGTGCAAATAAATTGTTAATAATTTTGGTAAAAACGTATTTTTAAATGGGATCTCTTTTGTGTCATTGGTAAAGGCACCCATGACATAAGAGAGATCCTTTACCAATAGTAAACATTACATAACATCACACCTTTTATCCCCGAAGGGGTAGGCAGAGGTGCACATTACGGCACTTAATGCCACTGTACAATAGAACAACCACATTTCACTATTTATGTTATCAGTCCCTTGTAATAGGGGGTGAGCCTATTACCATATACCGGGCACATTTCCAGACTCCGTGCTATTACTGCGATTTTTTAAAACCCAGTAATACTTTGCCCGACCCGGGAATCGAACCCGAGACCCCTTGCCCGGCAGTCGCACTTACGACCACTCGGCTAACGAGGCCGTTAATAGTAAACATACCAATTTCATATAGGTACACACTAGGCTCGGAACAAGAATTTGAAGATTACAAAGAGTTGTTTCGTGCCGAAATGAAGCCTGCACTGTCACTGCACTCTAACCATGTAGGCAGATTCGGAGTCGCGGAGAACATAACGGGTAACCGGGGCTCCGGCTCGACGTGCAGGAGAAGGAACGGGGTGGTTTTTAGTCAGTAAGAGTCTGACACTCCCTCCTCCGCCTCACCCAGGCAGGAGCAGTCATTCGATGATTTTCCCCCCTTAAAAAAAAAATCCATGTAGGCAAAAATTGTTGTTTTTGACTAACAACGAAGTTGAATGGGCAAACAATGTAGGACTCAGAAAAGGGCTACTATTCCTAGTTTATCCACAATTTGGATATAAAACTTGTCCACTCTTCAATACCCATACTCGTCATTTCATATCAAAGTACTTAGGTACCGTACCTAATTAACGCGTGCAACAATTCTACAAATATACAGAAACTCATTTCGCCACATTCAAATATTTTTTTACATACCCATGCAACAGTGAACTTTCTATTTATTTAGCGAAGTTGAAATCCGCAAACATAGTGCGGCGCGGCGCTACGGATCCCGTAATTACGAGTCCGGGGCCTGGCGTAGTGCCGTCCAGCTAATTACAGTGGTCCCGCGCTCCCGGGACGGGATAATTACAACCGACCTGCGATCGCGGGACTAATTGCCCTCCGCGAGTAATTTATGAAACAAATTACATGATTCATTCTCGGCCGGTCCTGTTTTTGTCATTTCAGGGATTCAGGGATCATCGCGATATATTTTGGTACCTAGGATATTAAGGTTGTTATTAACTTTTTCATAGTGTAGGAAATAATTTTAGGGAGTTAACATTTTTTAAAACGTGTTCTGTTTTCACTAGGAAAACTTTACATTATTTTTACCAAACTTTCGTGAAACATACCAGTAGCGCCATCTACCAGTACAGTACAATATTAAACCTTAAGTGGAACCGAAGTGCACACGTGAATCGCTAGATGGCGCTGATCCAAATTCTATGACTGAATTTTCTAACAACTGTATTTTATTTTTTGTTTCAGAATGCACCAAATCAAGAGCCCGTATATAGAAAAGTAGCTGTAGTAGAAAATTTCTTCGATATTATTTACACAGTTCATGTAGAATTAGAAGGACGACCTGGAAAACATGCTGGACAAAAAAGGACTTATAGGACAGTAAGTAGAAATAGGCAATTTTTTTCAATTATAATTATTTTAATACCTTAACTATAGTGATGTGTTATGACTTAAAAGTACATATTCAATTTAAAAAGTTAGTAATTGGTGCCAGCGCCATCTAGTGCCCCCACGGGGAACTACTTGAAACCGTAATACATTGTAGCGCCACGCGCTAAAAGTGATGCAGTACGAGCAGTTTGCAGCACTTGTATTTTTCCAACGTGTATCCAATAGGTGGCGCGAAGTAGACATTTGCAGAAAGAATGCATTTAGTATCGTAGTAAATTAATGCTTTATTATTTTCCTGTGTTGCATTTTTTTATTAATACCAATTACTCGATTTTCTGCGACTGCTAGTGTGAAGTACACTCAGTATGAACTTGAACAAACTTAATGTACTTTTAGTGGTTACTCAGTAGCGCAACGGTTGGGAAGCACCTACCCGAAGTTCGATTTTATCACAATCTGTTTGGTTGACGAATGCGACGCATTATTTATGAAAAATAAATATTGATGTATGAATTTTTCAATAAGTAGTATCTACCTACTTTGTTATTATAACTGCGTTAACGCATTTTGGATATAACATAACATCACGCCTTTTATCCCCGTAGGGCTTCCCCTTGTATATGTGTCTATGTATCTGCCTACGCAGAGGCGCCCGTTACGGCACTTAATGCCACTGTACAATGTAACACCCACTTTTCACTATTTATGTTACAAGTCCCATGTAATAGGGGGTGAGCTTATTGCTACCGGGCATAATTCCAGACTCCATGCTACTACTGAAAATTTTTAAAAACTCCAGTAACACTTTGTCCGACTCGGGAATTGAACCAGAGACCCCTTGCCACTTGCGACTATTCGGCCAATGAGGCAGTTAATGTAATACGTAACTACGAATATTTTCATAAAATAGTCTTTGCCTGTTTATGAGGGACTAGATAGACGTGTGAATTAATACTAATATTAATCAATGATGAGGTTGCCAATATAACCTAGAAGAATGCAATAGGTACCTACATTACATATTGTAAGGTAAACCTTTACTAAATAAGATCAACAAAACAAGATCATGTATTAAGTATCTTAAAATTAAATTACACCGCAATCATATTAAACAATATTATATAGTTTGTTAACTGATTAGACACACTAACAATAAGGTTAACACACTAACACCTCACTTGGAACGTTGATTATCACTCCTGTAGTCCCATATCACTGTAAACGAGGCTGCGAGTAATTTTATCAGAGAAACACAAACATTGCGAAGAATATTCTACTTTCCTTAATCACGGATGTTTTCGCCAACAGATTACGGAGACGTACGCGTTCCTGCCGCGGGAGGCCGTCACGCGCTTCCTCACCGGATGCGCGGAGTGCGCGCGGCGCCCGCGCAGTGCGTCCCCCCCGCCGCTCCCCACACCTTCCCCGTCGCCCACCCGACACCCCACCTACCTCCCCTTCCTCCCCCACTGCGCGCCTGATTACACGCGCAACTGGGAATCTGAGATAGACGCCGCACATTCTAATTACTACGAACCGAAATTTGAGTACACGGAACTTCAGCCGCTGAAGAAAGTTGAAAGCCCTAAACCTACAGACGTTGAAGAGCCCGAGCCTACGTACATTGAATTAACGTCAAAGAAAGTCAACGGATTTGAATCTACACCGCTGTTGAACAGAACTTCTCCTGTAGAACCGGCGTTTCAAGAAGAAGAGCCAGTCAGAACAGACCCAGAAATAGACAAAGACGAAAATAGTTTAATAGATGTCGAAGACGTCATATCAGATAGTCCCGCCCCGTTAAGATTACAGAAGGATGATGATGCTAAGCATTCAGAAGGTGAAAGTACAAAGGCTGCAGAAAGCAGAGGAGTCGACGATAAGACTGAACCAAAAAAAGAGAAGAAATATAATCCCCTCGATGTTGCTAATTTAACGTCTAAAGACCCACCAAAGTCGAGGTCTCCGCCTAGAAAGAAGTTGTTACCTAATGTTGAGTATGCGTCTAATTCATTCGGGAGGTTTCCAAAACCTTGGAGACCAGATGGTGGAGCGTATTATGGAGGAGAGGAGATGGACTACAACGTGCCTATAACCACCGCGTACTTGAAGCATATGCGGACAATGTCGTACCAGGATCGCAGGGATTCAGAGAGCAAGGTGAGTCAACATTTTATTAAATAGGACACTTCTACCATTGCACAAAATTCCAGAAAAAGTGAATTAACACAAAGTATTACAAAAGTAAATTCAGCTATTTTCAGTTGAAGTATCCAACATTAGGGTTGCATAGAAACCCTCGGAATTCCTCGCATTCGAATACAAAGTACGAAACCACACCAAAACCTGATATAATAATTTTGTCCAAACAAAGGGGAATGCCCACTGACCATAGACACTTCGGCCCTGGGTGCACACATATAAAAGCTTATGGATATGGTAATATGCATTTTAAGAAACAAAATGGAAAAGAAATTGATTTAGAAAAAAGTCCGGATTGTTAAGATATAAAATGATTTATATTTTTACAAATATCAGACGAACGACGGGGCGCCACCCTTATATGGTGGACATTCCACCCATTCGCACGAAGCGCTTCGCGTCAAGCTTCCTCATGCGAACCGCTAAGGAATGGAATTCCTTGCCAGAGGCTGTGTTTCCCGTCAAATATGACTTGGGTGTCTTCAAGTCCCAGGAAGTGGACAGGTTGCTCATAGGTGCTCCATCGTCGGCCACATCATCGCTTATCATCAGGCGAGATAGTGGTCAGACGTCGACCTATTAAGTATAAAAAAAAATGAAGTCAACTCATATAAATAGCATTTCTCAGAAGATATGACAGTGACACACGGAGACATGGATCAGATATTTACCTGTTGTGATGAAATCCAGTGTTGTATAAGATTTCGCACCTCAGCAATTGCCAACAAATACTCTTCGTAATCTCGTCACATTTAAACTACAATTCACACAGCGTAAATGTTCTCTTGAATGAGTTACTGAGGGTTGGGAAGAACTCTGGCCGGTGTGTAAGCTGGTGTCATCATTATCAGTGGAATCCGCACGGCACGAACTTGTGCTGGGGTTATCATGAGAAGCGGGAGCGGGATCCATGTTCAGGCCGTAGTCAGTAGGGTAAGAAGAATCGTCGGAGTCCATTTCAAAAGCTTAGTTGTTGTTAAGATAACAAATCCGCAACAAAACAAATAAAATATTACGAAGCAAACGAATTTTATTTGATTTGTGACTTTAACACTGACAGCTACCGCCAAAGAGTATAGCAACCGTCTTCGCCAATCGCTGTAGATTCGATGTAGCCAGTTAAGTGAAATAAAATCGATTAATCGATAATTTTTTTTGGTCCGATTGTTAATTCAACAGTTTTTTATTTCTGTTTTTGATGTATTTTTAAGAATAGATAAGATAAAAATGATAGTTAAATTGTGCAGTACCGTTAACGATAAGATCTAATGAATCCACGGTAAATCAACTAGCAATGCACAAAAATCGATTGGTAAAAAGAGAATCGATTATACTTTAAGCAATAATTGGTCATTGGCAACACTTTTTATTTTATTGACAAAGAAGGGATTTACGGATTTACGTAGTTTTGTTTTTATCTTTTCGGTACTTCTTTTATAGGGAAAAATATTGCAATCTTGTTTGGATAAATGAATACCGCGATGCATAAACATAAAATTACATGTTTTTTTTAACATAAGCAAATTATTGGGCGTTTGATGGCCAAAACTGGGCATCCCCCTTTACAATGTAAAATAAACATATGATTTTGCGGGCCGGGTCGCGTTTAACCCTGGCTTTAAACTTCTGCTAACAAACTGGTAAAGCCGCGGCGGTCGGTCGGACCCCGCAAACCTTTGTATGGGATCCTTCATAACCCTTGTTATGATTTTGAAGACTGGCATCCGACGCTCAAGTAAAAATTATTGCGAGCATTTGATTTGAACGGTTTTTGTAAAGAGCCTCTTCAATGGGATGCTTGCCTGGTAAATTGGGATATCATCGTTTTATTTTATGTAGTTTTGCATCGGACCGGTATTTTGAATAAGTATGTTTTTAAGAAAAATTGCTTCGCCTTCTTGTAGATACTTGAACATAGGAAAATGCTATTTCTACAAACAAAAATGAAAAACTATTTACAGTGAAATTAAAACCATTTCAATAAATCTATAAAAAATTTGTAAAAAATTGAATATGTACATATGTACTTATGTAGTTCAACCGATTTAACTAAAAATGACGGGTAACTCACGTGAATATACTGAGTAAATATCTTAGTAGTGTCGAGTGACAGAGGAACTCTTCAATGGATTTATCAAAATTATGGATGATCTGAATGTTTACTATAAAGTCATTCTTGGCGCAGTGTCCGACCCGAGCCGCCCGCAGCTCTATTATGTCACGGCACGGGTTCAATTCTTTGCTGGAAAACAGTTTATAATCCACAAATTGTTGTCTGGTGTCTACGTGAAATGGGTACGTGAAAAGTATACGGAAAAGTTGTATGTCCACATACCTACGTTTTCGTTTTGTAAAGATGTATTATGGGTATCGAACTTGAGACGTAGTGTTCGGCAGTCACTTTTCAGGATAACTTGACCAAAGACATAACTGTATAGTTTCAGAAATACTGTCCAATTTTTATTATAACAATGTGATTGAACAAATAGGAAAATTAATTTGAAATAGTTTAGGAGCAGACGAAAACATAATTATTATCTCATCTTATGCAGAGAAGAAAATTTTCTGTTATCATGCATATGTTGTAAAAAATATGGTTTTGAAGAAACTTATATAAGTACTTCAAATTACCAGGCGCCGAGAACGTGCAGGCGTTAGTGCGTACTGTGTAGTATGCGTACCTGACGTAACCCTGTAATGCTCGCGGCGTCCCACACGACCCGCGATTGATTCAGACGAATGTCCCTCACAAAGGACCACGGGGCGTCACGCTATAATCGGGCGCCGCATCTTTTCTAACTCATTTTTCTCGCTTGGGGCGCGGGTGAGGGGTGGTGGGTGGAAGGCACGAGGTTTCATCAGCCTGAGGGGGCGTCACGGTATTAGACAAGACACAAAAACGATGCCCGACGGAGAAGTGGGCTAGTAAGTTTTCTGATGACGGTTATATTTACTATCGCAGCTATGTTATAGGTTTTTCAGTGTTAATTTATGTTACGAGCTTGGCTAGATACTTGTTGGGGTTTTTGCTCGTTATTCCAATTACCATCATTTTTTCTTCATAGGAAAACCTTTACTTTAGAAAAAATGATGGTTTTTGCAGAAGTATTTCTGCAGTGTTAACTTAATTTTAATATTGAGCACTTGTATATGATTATCGGTTTGTCATGATGGTCTAGTAAATTTGAGTACATACAACAGAAATCTGAGCAAATATTTGCGACAAAAATCATATTTGATACAGCCACAGTGAACACAGGACCTCTAATACGGCATTAATTGCAATAAAGGCCAGAAGCTTATATTATGATGGGACCTAACGCAGAAAATATCCTACTAACAAAAAGTTTATGTTAGACCTTTTTCGTGTGGAGCCTCCCGAAGGGTCAGTCGAGCCCGTCCATAAGAGGGTATCGTCCCTTCGACCTCCCAAAAGTGCCTTATCCCCCTCCGGCCCCCGCATCGCACTGCGACTTGTAAGATTGATTGGGGCTCCTTCAGTCCATTGCCAACCACCCTTGTGGGATATTCGACCCTCCCCCCTTTTTTCTCGGGTACTTGCGACCGGGATATAGATTAGATGGAACCGTTCTGTTTTAGATGGAGGTCTTCTTAAGGTATTAGAGTGTTTTAGCACTTTTTTAAGACTTTCCTTTGTGCCTACCGTGCCTACGTAAGTCGTAACCATTGGTGTATTGGTGTGCTACGTAAATTAACGTTGTTGAGATTTTTAAATATTACTGGAGTTTTAAAATTGTTTCTGTGAGTGTGTTGGTGTAGGTCACTGATAAGTTAATAGTCATATTACATGGATTCTATTTTTAATTAGTTATTTATTTGTCTTTATTTAAAGTAACACGTTTATTTATATCTTCGAAAAAAAATGGTACACTGAAAAACATCATCATCATAACATCACGCCTTTTATCCCCGAAGGGGTAGGCAGAGGTGCACATTATACCACTGTACAATGTAACACCCACTTTTCACTATTTATGTTATGAGTCCCATGTAATAGGGGGTGAGCCTATTGCCATATACCGGGCACAATTCCAGACTCCGTGCTACTACTGAGAATATTTAAAAACCCAGTAATACACTGAAAAACACTGCAGTATATTTTATGGTTTTTGCCGCTTTAAACTTTTTATATTAAAAAGTATCACATCTATCCATATCTAATGTTATTAAAAATAACATTATTCTTTGAATGAAATTTTACAATTGTTGTTCAAAAATTAAATCCAAGCTAATTATAAAAAGCACCTTACAATAACCCCTTCCATCATCTTAATTATAAATTGTCACCACATGATTACTACAAACCATCTCATCACATTCACAGTCCATTCAAAACTCCCAGCTCAACAATGCCACATCTAGCATTCACACATCCACCCTCTTTTTTCTCAGCAGGCGTTGTTAATAACACAACAGGCTATTTTATTCGTCTACCGCCACTTGCGGCCGTGCGCCTGCTTTGATGTCACAGATTACAAGTTTGCTTAGATGCCCATGTTATTGTAGCAAATCTTCATACTGCGTGTGTTATTTTGAATATTTCTTATGCTTTCTTCGGCGGATTAGAAGGTAGCTTTGAAGATAGTTTTTTCATGTAAGTACTTACCTATATGAGTTTTATGTAGAGGTGGATCTTATATTATCTATATCCATTAATGAGTTCCATGGTAATAGCCAGGACTCTTAGTTGAAATTTAAAATATACATATAATTGGATAGGTTTTTTTTTCTGAAAATATAAAAATGTGGAACGTTCTGTCGGCACCATAATGGAACTCTGAAGTTTTATTTGTGCTGACCAAATCTTTAACACTTGAGACTCGAAGTTGCCACATACCCAACGTGGCAGTGTATTTAGGTAAATGAAAACGTTTTTCCATAAAAAGTTTTCTCTAATTTTATCAATTTAATTCATTTGTTTCACACTAATATTATAAATGTGAAATTTTCTTTGTTTCGATGCTTGTCCGGCTTCACGCTGAAAGTACTGAACGGATTTTGATGAAATTTGGTATACAGGCATTGTATCGGCTGATTAAGATGATAGGACTTTTTATCCCGATTAAATGCTTTCATAGGATAAAACAGGGATCAAATTCTACGTGGATGAAGTTTCGGACAACAGCTAGCGTTGTATAAAGTTTATCGTATCTAACTAAACTTGAGGTTGAGGGTCTGTATGTCTATTTATACATAGTTTCGAGAAGAAGTAAGACAATTCCAATAATATCCGATTAACATCTATCTACAGACCGCTCGGAGCAATGTTAGTATCCGAATT